CTAAAGTTAAGCATATTGTTTGACTGGCACAGCTGCCAGACCCAGAGAGATTTGTCTGAATGGCCATTAGTTCAGATTCTATTCCCAGAGGATTTTAAAGAACAAAACTCAAGTCAAAGGCATGGTTTTGACAGCAGAATAGTGGAAGGAGGCAGTCCTTAGTCAGCCCCAGTTTCAAACCCCATCATTAGTGCTGCAGGAAAATGGCATTAACAGAGTGGACTTACAAGGGGGTGATGAAGCATTTCCAAATAGTAAGCACAACTCAGGAAGAAAGAGAGGGAACGGGGAGGGGAAAACATATAAAATTATGTGAAGCTGAAAGGGATGCGTGTGGGTTCTCATTGAACTGTGGTTTTTTGTAGAAAGATGGCTTACCATATTTACTGAAGCTAGCCAAGATAACAAACCATGGGGAACAGCTCATAGTTCACAACTGATTGATGGAACATGGATTGTTCTGGCTAACAAGTCATGGCTTGTCAACATGCATTGTCTGAACCCAAGCACTAAGGCAGACCATGGGTCCCTCTGGCCCAGGGTCGGTGGTGAACAGCAGTGGCCCCACAGTTTCAGAAGAGAATTCTTCCTACTTTACCTGGTGGTGCCAGGGATTGAACTCGGGACTCTTGGGGTGGAAAGCATGTACTGCAGCCCTTCCTCAGTGCAAAAAAGTTACTCTATGCCAGGATGCTCAAACTACAACTTCATCCTTTTTAGCCTTCATTTGAACATCTGTCCATAGTGAAAAAATACACTGGTTTGTAGTCCTACACAGACATTCGCCTGATTGCATGCAAGCCTAAACTGGTGGTGGTGGGTATGGGAAAGTGGGAAAGCACACGAGTCCAGACCCAAATGCCCCTACATGCCTAGCTGCCGGTCAGTCCTTTCAAAATCTAGTGCAAAAAAATAAAAGGGCTTCGCAAGTGCATTCAACTGAGCTCTCATGACTGGATGGACAGGGCAGGATTTGCAATCTAGAGTATCCTACAACCACATTTTGTTGATACGAACCTGTATCTTTCAAAGAGATTTCTGTTCCTGACAACCCCACAGCAGGCTTATACTGATTAATCACTCAATCACTGGCAGATTAACAGTAACTGAAAATGTTAAAAATGTACATATTGGTAATACAACAGTATCCCTAAATCTTGGTATGACAGCTACTTAGATATGCCCCAAGGATCTTAGTCCTAAAAAGAGATGCATCAAAAAAGTAAACACTTATGTAGCCATTAAAACCTGTTAAAGCATGTTTGGTCACAATGCATGACCAATGCTGAACCTTTTTAATTCTAACCATCATCTTACTGGAATGTTGCTCAATTGAATTCTTGCTGTGTAGAAAAGGTGAGCTGAAAAAGATGCAGTCCCTTATGTTCTCCTTTCACACATATAGAATTTATATTCCCTTTTTTAGCCCCTCCAAGGGCAGTTAACAATCAACAATTTGAGACCGGGGTACTTGGTTAAGAGTCTGCAATGTGGGACCAACCAGGAGACCAGATTGGCTTTCCCTATATATAAATGGCTGACCTTTAAGATCCTCAGAGGAGGCCTTGTTGGTGATTTGGCGATTGTTCCCATGTGACATCACAGAAGCAAGCCTTCTCAGTAGTGCCGTACCCTCTGGAACACCCTCCCCTGGAATACCCTCCCCGTGAGGCTTGGGAGGCATAAAATGTGGTGAGCTTTAAATGCCTCCTTAAAAAAACCTGCTTACAGAAGCTTCCCTGGAGTGCAATGTATTAGCATGATACTGCTCTAATTGTTTCCAGTTGTGTTTTCCCTTATGTTTGCTGTAGTTGTAATTGCTTTTTAAATTCAGTATTTAAATAGTACTGTGAATACTGTCATGTTCAAATAATGAACAGTGTACTCACTTAATATTGTATTTGTGATTGATATCCATTTATTATTACAACTGAACTTAAAAAACAGAATATTTTCCACAGAAAAGTTAAGCACTGAAAAGAAATCTGGTTTGGAAAAATGTCTATCCCGTATCATTGGTGGTTACAACCAGAACTCAAAGCAGAGCCAAGCGAGCGAACTCTTGGAGAAGGAAAGAGGAGGCAGGGTTCCTTCCCCTTTGTTTGAAGGATCCCAATGAAGTCTTATGTTGAATTTATTAATGCTTTTTGATTTGCTTGTAAGTCACCTTGGACAAATTTATATCCTTAAGCACAGCTTATTAGTACTACAGTGTCCATGTGTCAGTCACCACAATGATTGCTACCAGTCTACATGCAATGATAGCTTCATACAGAATCACAAACCAGCAAAATAGTTGCAGAATTCCAAGGGACTGAAATTCCACAAAACTTCAATTTAGGAACTGTGTTACATTATGAAAAACACTTAGATCAAAGGTGGGCAGAAGGCAGATTGAAATTTCCATGGTAGATTTCTGGTTGATTTCAACTTTTCTTCTGCAACTACCCAGACAGCAACAGGTAATGCAGAGAGTGGGCATGTAAATATATAAAATAAACTCTTTGCAGTAGATTAGGGGTCTTTAATCTTGTTGGGTTGGTGGAATTATGAGAATGCTGTGGGTACTCTCACAAAAAGGTGGTCATTTAGGGCTCGGCCATTCATAAAATGGTTAGCATAGGAGGTGTGGCTGGCCACAAAATGCTCATTTCCCAGAAAATAAGCTAATGCTGAAAACCAAAGTAACTTTCCGGGCACAATGTAGAAGTGGGGCCTGAGCTCCAAAATGGTGCTGGAAGGCGGCCCCTCACTTTGCAGCCTGCCACCCCTGCTATACGCAAATGAACTAAACCAGACCTTAATACAATAATCAGGAACTAGAGGAGCCTGGTGGGCATCAAGAGAGGCATCCATGGAAACAACTGCATTCATAAGTACCAAACTGAAGAATCCAGCAACAGTTCCAATGTAAGGATCTCCAACTCTCCCTGCTTTTTCTAAACACCAACAATGTTTAGGTCTAAATTAGAATCTTAGAAACTCTGATCTGAAGTAACTTAGATACAGATGTGTACCTGGGTATGCAAGTCATCCCAATGTGTACAAGGTTCAGGAGCTAACTGGCTCTGGCCGCTAAGCCTGGCTCCAAACAATCAGCCTTGAGGGTCTTGGTAAAAGCATGTGAAATAGATCCTCCAAGTCTGCCCAACTCTGCCTTAGATAGATGCCACACCATCTATTTCAGTAGGGATCACATAGCAACATGCAGCCTCCCAATGCCACCAGGCAACTGCACACCTGGTGGGAGTGGGTTTCCACCTGGATCTTTAGCTTGCCTCACCTAGCAGCTGACAGGTGAACCTGCCAAGAGGTCCTATATGCCCTTATGTTAAATCAGGAATATGCTAAATAGGGTAGGCAATGTTCTAATGGGCATCTACAGAGTGCCAAGATGTGGCTAGTGTGACTCATTTCTTATACTAATGATGGCCAGAAGCCAGTGTTAGGAGACTGCAAGGACACAGGCTGTTAGGAAAGATGAGCCCAATTTTAGCAGCATGAAAGCTTCTGGACAGGGAAGGGTACAATTATAGAACAAATATGAGTCAAGCAAGAGCTTCCAAAGTCTTCTGCAACTTCCAAGATCTGATTATCAAATCTTGCAAAAATGCAAATATGCTTCTCAATGACTTAGCAACTCTTTAGACATTGGTCTTCCATCTCATTGTTGAGGCACCTATATCTGTTTTTCCCATCCCTGCTGGCTCAGGGATCATGCAAGTTGTAACCTAATGCATCTGAAACACACCAGGCTGGGGAAAAATGAACTGTATGGAAATATACACTAACAGTTTGTCATTTTCAATGGGCACTGGAACATTGGGTGGATGAGTTTTTAAAAAGTGGAGAGGACATAAACTATGCCAAGATTGGTCTCAAGCACCAACATTCAGCTAAAGAAAAGAACCCAAAATTGCTGTGTTTTCATATCATGAGTTTGACCCACTCTTTCCTTAAGAGGGTGTTTAACCAGAATGCATCCAAGAACAGGCCATTCAGAAGCAAGATGTATGAACATTGTGCCTTTACATGACCAAACAATCAACCATTACTTGATGACTTGGGCTTTGTGAAGAAGTGGCCACAATTCATTGTAGTGTTTAGCAGCATCCTTACAGCAATTAATTGCAATGACTTAACCACTCTTTCAGTATGTGTCAGATTGTGGCCTAGCTGTACTTGCATTACTCCAGATTGCCAGCAGTATCGTTAAGCCTCGCTGTTTAATTACTCTAATACATGTTATGTTTGAAACAGCCAAAACCTTGAACCTGACATTAATTCAGAATTGAAAATCCATGTGGATTTTTAGCTCTTATGTAATGTTTGGTAATTGTATACTTCTGTGGGGAGGCATTCCAAGAGCACTGCCAAGCAGGAAAATACCCATTGTGTCCAATCAGCCTTGGTTAACAAATTTCACTCAAGCTTCTTTGTAACTAAACAAATAATTTTCTAGGTCAGCTGGTGAGGAAGGAAAGACAGGAGTGACACATACATAGACCATTTTCTCTGCTTGAAGGCAGAGTTGAATGATCAGAGAAAGGCCAAGTGGATAACCTAAGCTGCTACAGAGATAAATCAATAATACTTAAAAGTAACTCTGAAGAGCCTGCCTTCATTACAGAAAGACTTTAGTGAACACCTAAATAGGTTTATGCAGAACACAAGAGCTCTGCTGGATCTGATCAAAGGCCTGTCTAGTCCAGAGTTGGCCATCCATTGGCCAACCGGATACCTGTGGCAGCACCTTTCTGCACATGGTCCCCAAGAACTGGTACTGAGAAGCCTTCTGGAAGTAACAGAGAGCCATTCATGGCTAACAGTGATGCACAGAATCAGGCTGCTGGCGTAAGAACTTTCCAAGCTGTTGCTAATTTAGAAATATGAGGAACTAGATCAATCTGTTGAAAGAGTCATCATCTAATCCCAACAGATTCCACAAGACAACTAGCAGCTAATGGGTAACAGTGTTTTATGATGTCCAGCAATCTTACCTGATAGGATAGGCCATCTTTGCGGGGGCTTAAGCCAATCTCATCCATAGATGGAGCACTCATCACCTCAGTCATGTCAGCTGATCTCAAATAATCAGGGCTGGAAACAAGAGTCAAAGACAGCTTTAGCTATTACCATTCTATTAAGTTAGTAGCAACATTAATGAAGCTGAAATGTTACTAAGAACTAAGCATTCATATTGTTAAAGAACCATTCAGATGTTCAGATTATGCCACTTCAATACAAAACTTTCCAGTTTGTGGAAGGAACTTGGTTATTCTGTTTTTCAGTAAACAAAACATTCCCAGCTATTTTGAATTCAGAGGTCCAAAGGTTTATTTACCCCAAGAAATATTAAGCCACCCTCAAACTAAGTATTGAATACAAGCTGGAAAGAGTTCAGTGCAGTTTTCTCTATCTGGTGGCCTCAGCATATTTTTGACTATGAGTCCCATCATCCCCAGCCACTCTAATGAAGCTTTTGCAACACTCTAACCTGTACAGACGACCCAAGAAAACATGTACCATCCGCAAGTTTTACTGAACTAACCATGTATCTGTCCTTAATTCTGAACAATGTTCTGTAACTTCTATTAGATATACTTCGATGCTAGGAGTAAAAGTTGTTCTTTTTACACTCATTGTTTCCAGCATAATTAATTGTGAAACCAAAAGTACATTTGATACCACCTCTTGCAGCTTCTGCATTTTTGAATATGCTAATATCATTTCAATTTCCAGGCGCAGTACCAAAAAAAAATTCTTCGCATGCATTTACTCATTATGGTTTTTAAATAAAGGGTATGATGCTACCACAAAGAGAAGATAAATCTCTGTTTCTAGGTCTCCCTGAATCATCCTCACAGATGTTCATACTACACTGAGGTCTCAGATACCCTCGAGAGTAAAAGACAAGGGAATGGCATAATAGCGTCAGGAGTTTGTTCTCACTAAGTACCAATGGTCGGTCTAGGAGGAGTCGCAAGGCACAGTAGAAAAGTGGAAAGAACCCCCTTTGCTGCACATGCCATGCCTTCAAGAACAAGAAATACTGACTATCAAGTTTAAGCTTTAGTAGGGATGCCAAAGAACTAAGCACTGAGAGTTCCACTTTTTTCTTCCTTCCTCCCAATCTCTCTTCTATTTTTTGCCATGTCTTTTAGATTGCAAGCCTGTTAGCCTCTTGAAAGCCACTCTGGAAGTCTTTTTTGGCCAAAGTGCACAGGATAAAAATACTGTAACTAACTAAATAAAATAATTAAGAGCAACTAAACAGATCATGCAATCACATGTATAGTTAGAGACATTTTACTGTTGATTTCATAATTTTTTTCATTGCAATTCTATCAGTATACAAGGTGCCTACACACTAGTAAATTTTGACTAGTTAGAGGGGGGAGACATGAAAATAGCCTCCCTGTCCCCAAACAATAGAACATATTTACTGCTCCATCCTAGCTTTGCACAGCTATACCTTGCAGAATCAACCCAGCCTTCCAGGACTGGATAGGCTGAGCACCCTAGTGGATTCTTCCCTTCCTACACATACTCCTTACCCCTAACTTTCATATATCCTCAGAAGAAGAGCTGTAGCAAATGATTATGCACTTGTGGTCCCTGTTCTCTCCCCCTAGCTTCCATATTTGGTCCTCAAGGGAAATCTACACAGAAAATCTGGAAGAAGGAAGCAAAACTGGGCTTTGTTCCATTATTTTAATGGTGAAGAGGCAATCCAGTATTTAGAATTCCTTGCTGGAGTTATTCATGGCCATTAAGCAAAACAGTTTGATTTAGTTTGCTTAACTCTAGGCTGCTTTGGTTTGCAGGAAAGTTGTAAGATAAAAGTCTTAACAGACACTTGAAGCCAAGTAAACAGCTACCTCCTCTTTCAAATTCAACCAAAAGGGAAGAGAAACAAGAGTTGGGGCTTTAATGGAAAATTGGCCTACTGAATTTATCTTATAAACTGAACAGCAGGCTCTGTCCCAGAGATGAAAAACTGGCCAGTGTAACATCCTACATTGTACTATCTGGCAAGTAAAACTGAATTATTAAACATGGGAAGCACCCTGCCAACTAAGAGCATGGCTCGCTGATAAAAACACGAGGCAAAAAGAGAGCACTGGCTAAACATCCTAACACTTGTTCTTCTTATGTCAGCTCACAGATCTATTGAACAGGGTTCTCTCTGCTGCAGGTTGTCCAGCACTCACACTTTTGATGCTGTGCAGCTTTTCCCCTTGCCTCTGCAAAACTCCACCTTGCTTCATACCTGGCCACTGTATTCAGAACACCCTGTGCTGGGAACAGTGGTGTGAATTTTACCATTCTTAGAATGTATGGATGGAGGATACTGATGCCTCCAGCACTAAATGCTGTGAAAAGCATCCAGTGTTCAGAGTACTCTGGAAAGTCATCGACTCCACAAGAGCTCTAAGGTGCCACCTAGTTCAGCCTTCCATAATCTGATGCCATCCAGATGTGCTGGGCGGCAGCTCCCATTAGCAGCTCAGCCAGCTGGGACTGACTGACATAGGAATCCAACACATCAGGAGCGCACCAAGGTGGGGATGGCTGAAGTCAGTTGAAGTCCATCTGCCAGAAGGAAGAAGTATCTCAGCTCCCATCTGCCCACAGCAGCACAGCCAGGGGTCGAGGATGCTGAAAATGGAGGTCCAAAAGATTGTGCGGGGAGGCACTAGGTTGGGAGGAGGTGGCGCTAACGCAGACACCTCTCTGGAAGCCGGAGACACAACTTCGAGGCAACGCGTGCCTTCTCCTGCAGTTCAGGGGCAGTTCTGAGCTCAGGAGCAACCCGGCCGACCGCAGCGAGCAGAGCGACTGCAAGACCCCCAAAGGGCTTGTTCCAGTGCCTGGTTCAGAGCCGCGGCTCCCCCGCGAATCCAGACGCCAAGCTCAGGATGTAGCCACTGGATGCACGTAAAGGGGGAGCCGCTAGCTGCGTGCCTTGCCTACGCTACGGAGCAAGCACAGCCGGTTTTATTCATCTGGGATTAACAGTGATGAATTGCCTTCCTAAGCCAGTTTCCCCTCCCACAAATGTTTCTGATTATAACTTCCAGTATTCCTGACTACGGGCCATCAAGGCTGAGGCTGATGGGAGTTGGAGTCCACATCAGCACCAGAGCACCAGTTTCTACCAGAGGCTGCCTTCCGAGTTGGCCGCTGAAACGGTCTGTCCTTGCATCCCGAAGACCGGCAGCCGGGATCCTTTGGCTTGGAAGGAAGCGCTACCGAGCAGCAAACTTCTTAGCGCGATCCTCTAACTGCGCAATAAAAACCCCGGCCTGGAATCCAAACCGCCCCCCTCCATCTCCTGGGGAAAGAAGCCCCGAGGGGCTAGAAGAAAACTTGCCAGGCTGAGGATAATCAATCGTGGCTGGCAGCCCCCGACTCTGGGAAAAAAAACAGGGCCGATCCTTGCAGCGGTCCAGCCACAGTCGCTTATCGCCTTGGACTGCTCCTGCCGGCAAGACTACGCCGCCGCCGCCTCCCGCGTTGCCCGGTGCAGCTCCGGAAGGCGGCGGAAAAGCGCTTGCCCGCAGAAGCGGGCACGATCGCAAGCTCGGGAACGAGCCGAGGGGTAGCGCCCATTCACAAGCTGCCCCCTCGCAGAGGCGCTGCTGCTTCCGCCAGCTCCTGTCGCGGCAGCCGCAGATCCGCCAGAGCTCGTTCCCCTGGCGGGGTGAAGCGGAGGACAAGCGCGGAGCGAATGGCCGCCGAACAGGCCACTCTGCCCCGCAAGCCCGCCTCTCCCAGCAACGGAGCGTGCGGGGACTGCTAAGGCGGTCTTGCAACCTGCATGGCTGCAGCTTCTGCGAGCGGGCGGGCGCAAATTCCAGGGAACGCGACCGGTCTTGCTTCCGAGTAAACGTGCAGAGGATCCGGCTGCGAAAGCTTCCTTCGAGTTTGTCAGGCGCGGAGCGGAGGAGAGAGGGGAGGAGAGAGACATATGCACGGATCGCTTTTAAAATCTCCCTTTTTCCGATCTAACCTTCCCCGCGCCTCTCCGCTCTTTGGCGGCGGTTCACTTCCTTTGTTTCTCAGCCGCTCGCTTCTACCCTCTGTGTACAACCCTCGACATGCCTTTTAAAGTTCTAAGCCGGAGCGAAGTTTTGCACAGGTTTCGTGGTGCAATCTCCCCTGTAAGAAGTTATTTTACCTCGAAAGGCAGCGAGTACCTCGCACTCCACATTTTGCAACCTCCGCGCGCACGAATGACAGCCGCAAGACCAGCCGGTACTCACCAATGAATGGGGAAAAATACAGACATGAAGTCCTTAACAAAGAGGTTGACCCAACGTCCTTTGTATCTCAGCACAGCGACAGTGCAGGGTATTGAGAAGGAAAAAGAAGGAGCGGGCTGATCTTTCTAGTGCAGGGAGAACACCAGATGAACCACACGAAAGAAGGGCACCCGTTTGGAGTTCGGATACATTTATTTTAAAAGCTGATTGGCGTCACTAACACAAACACAAAAACCCTTCCTCTATTTCTCCCTCTACAATAACCCGCACAAAGCATTTAGGAAGCTACTTTTATAGACGCGGGGGGCGTGCCTCGGCCCGTGGAGCCCGCCCTCTCCCTGCGATGATGTCACCAAAATCATGAATGGTTTCGTGCGTTCAGCCTGTAGCAGAGCCGCAGCTCGGAAGAAAGAAGCGAGCCTCGGAGCTCTCTGATTGGTTGGCTCCAATGGCATCATCTTCGGCACGAATGCGACTTGCGGCTGATGTCTGTTGTTACCTAACTCAGATCTCAGTCAATCAGTTCAAGTTTGGACCTACGTTAACCCTCGATCCCCCACTTTTCTTGAATGTATGTCTTACGGGCTCTTATTATTCTTATTCTGCATCCCAGTCTAGTAAGAAATGAAGCTTCATAGTATCTGCCAACGCAAGAGTTCCCCACAAGTAGGGGAATTGCTAGGAAAATCGCAATGAGATTTGTTTAGGGTATTTCTTGATAACAGTGAGGGCGACAAGCACACGGTGTATCGATCTTCCGTGCTCTCAGGAAAGCAAGCCTCTTCGCTAGCAATGTATTAAAATAAAACCTGGTCTGGTCTCCGAAGCACTGTTATCTATTTTTAAAGAATAAAGGTTAAGTAAGTGCTTGAGCAGCGACCAGCCAGCTTCCTTTATGATCTGGGATTGCACGCACATTGCTGCCCTTTCGTCTGGACCTACATGGTAAGGGGGCTGGGGTGGGGGGTTGGCTGAACTGATTTCTATTTTAGTTTTTCTTTTTTCTGAGCTGTTTAAGAGTAACATTAAAATAATCCATGGGAAAGTGGGAGGAAGTCGTAGCTTCACAAGATCGTATATTACTGGGCTGAATGACTTTGTTTTATGCCTTGCTCTCCTTCGGATGGAAATGGTTTTTGGCATGTTAGTGTGTGTGGGAATAAAGAGCAAGGTCTTTTATGCTGGGCTGTTTTCCCACATGATTTTCATCTCTTAGGAATATATGAAGCTGCTTTATACCGACTTCAGGCATTGGTCTATGGAGTTTAGTATGGTCTCCACCAGGGATGGCACATGTGATGTTTGTGGGGTCTATTTAGGGTGCAAATAGATTTTATTGATGTTTAAAAGGAACAGATTTACCACTTCTAGCATGCATGGCTGGCTGCGAGTTAACTGGACTTTTTTCAGTCTAAACATGTCTAGGATTGTACCTACCTGTGGCCATGTAGATGCTGCTTAGACAGCCACAGAAAAAACAGAAAAGTGTGCTGAGGTCAAAGCTGAGATTCCTTGAGGAAAACCTACCTCTGCCCTTGCAGCCTGGATAGTTCTTTCCATGCCAAAGGCAGCTCCAAAGCTGGAAAACAGACTTTGGAGTAGGCATGGGAGCGGGAGCAGAGATGGGAAGAGGGATGCACCCCCATCCTACAAGAAATCGTGATGGTGCCTCCAGCTCTCTCCTTCCAAGCTGATATGAAACATTCAGATAGCTGGAAGTGTCTGTCTGAGGGCAAGGGAAGCATGGGGGCAATCCTTGCCTCTGTGCTCTTCCCATCCTCCATTCATCCCCACAATCCTCTGAGTCTGGAGGGTCATGGGTACTATCATTAGATTGCTTTCCATATTATACTGGTTTATATCAGGAATCCATTAACCAGAGCCAGGCAGTCAAAGATGCATTAACAATTAAGGAGCCCGGTACCTTAGAGCACATGCTTAGCTCAGGAACTTGTGGTCAGTACCACAGCCAAGCTCCTGTCTTTTCACTCCAAAATCCACATCTGGATTTCTCTCAAATGTGCCTTTTCAGTAATCTAATTCAGGAAGAACAACACGTTTTAGTCACTGCTGCCACTGGACAATTGGGAGTCAGGAATGCTGGCTGATCTATTGCCAATCACCAGGTCACCCACCAGGAGACCCTGATCTGCTTTCTGCCTGTCCCTGGTCCACACCAGCTTTCCCTAACCTAATGCCTTCCAAATGTGCTGGACTACAACTCCCATAATCCCTCATGCGGACTGGTCTCCACTGAAAGGCAGAGGCTGTCCAGGTTTTCCCAGGCCTGCCTGCAGCTCTGAACATTCTGCAGGCAAAGCGTGTTCTCTATCACTGAACTACAGCCCTTCCTCACAAACATAAAGGTTTGAGGTTAAATCCTTCATTTGCCCCAGTAAGTGAGTAAACACTGGCTTTATACCAGCAATTCTTTCCTGGTTCCCAGAATGGTTACACAGCTGTGTTGTGAGGATATAGGAACATAGGCATGAGGGTGGAGGAAAAGGGGAGTGTCCTTTCGACACCCATTTCACCGGGAGACAAAAAAGCCCCTCGGAGCTGGAGGCCAAAGCTGACCACCGGTTTTCCATCTGTGCTGGGAAAGAAGGCTTTATGCTGTGCCACAGTAAAGAAATACCATTCTTGAAGCTTTCCTGCTGTGCTGCTTGAAGAAATTGCAGCATAGAAGTCCTTATGTAAGCCTGTGTATTGTTCTAGAATGGCTGATTTTGAATGAAGAGAAACCAGGAATCCAAATACACCAATAGCCTTGCTTTCTTTGCTTCTGAATACCTCACTGCCAGGAAAAATACACGGATGACCACAAGGCCGTGCTGAGCAAAGGGAGACCTGTTGGCATGCGTCTCCATTCAGGTTTATTGTTGCCTGGGGACAAGGCCTCTGGCATCCTTCTGAAGTCTTGTTTCGCTGATGCCACAGATCCTGCCTGGTACCGGCAGCCAGGGCCGGTTTCAAGGGTATTTATTTTTATTTTTTATTTATTTTTCGATTTATATCTTGCCTTTTTCCTACAAAGGGCTCAAGGCAGCTTACATCTCCTCCTCCATCTTATCCCCACAACAACAACCCTGTGAGGTAGGTTGGGCTGAGAGTCTGTGACTGGCCCAAAGTCACCCAGTTGGCTCCATGGCTGAGCGGGGACTAGAACCCAGATCGCCTGAGTCCCAGTCCCATGCTCTTAACCACTACACCACACTGGCTAGTGTCCACAACCCAAGCAAAGGGGTCCTGCCCACAGTCCCCTGGACCTGTGCCTCTTTGTCATGACTGCACTCCGTTCATCTCACACCCACTGTGGCCCAGACGGTGGAAGTGGTGCAATGGCAGAGCAGTAATGCCACCCCCTGATTGCTCACTGTCTCTGCCAGTCCAGCCAGCAAGTGGTAATAGCCATGATGAAAAAGAGAAAGGAGTAACAGCTGCTGATGACGATGGTGGAGAGAGGGGAGAGTCACTGAGGGAGGGAGTCCATTCAGGACCTGCCAAAACCTGGGCCCAACACTGGCTGTACCCGTACACGGCGGCCTTCTTTCCTTCCTGCATACTTATTGAGAAATTGTGGTCATAGATTCTGCAATTATACTTGCTGAAGATGGCTTTGTGGTGGTTATGGTTTGCCTCTCCTACTAAGCTCTAGCAATTCACAGGGTTAACAGCTCTCCAACAGAAGGAGAGGTGCTTATGGGCCCTAGCTGCAGAGATGCTGGCTTAGTAACAGAATTGGAACAGAGGGGGTGGTGCCTCCAAGGTGCTTCATTCTCCTGCATTCCTATTTTTCTTCTATTTTATCAGCATACCTGATAATTTAACTTCTTGAAATGATGGTACCAGAAATGAATATCTAGGTGAGCAAAGACTAAGCAAAGTAGGTTCTGAGGAAGTAAGTATGGGCATTAAGTATGGGCATATTAATTCATACTTTTCAGGATTAATTATATTTACTTAGAAGTAAATTGCACTGACTTGCAATGATGCTTACATTTGATTAAGCATATCTGTGCCTTGTAATGGCAAATAAGTATTTAAACAGAAGAAAATTTCAGGACAGGCAGACAGATAATATAAAACCAATTCCTGGAGAAGCCTGGGATGCAGTTGGGTGGGGGTTGGAAGATAAGCCAAACTGACTAACAAAGGGTTGCTTTGTCACACCTATGGCCCCTGGGGATTGTATCAAAGGAAGGCAGCTTCCATTTAGCTGTGGCTATATATGAAGGCTACCTCCATATTCAGAATAGTTTAAGTTTGCAGAAAACAGCAAGGATGTTATTCAAGAAATTCCTTGATGGTGGACTTTATGTCTTCTGGAAAGGCATAAACTGAAGTGTTTGTATTGAAGACAGTAGTACTTCTGCCTGGTATAGTTCTGCTTCTTTCACTTATAAGGCACCAGTATATCTGTTCCCCTGCTCCTCATGTCCCATTATCAGAGGTACAGCCATGAAAACTCAAGAGAATTTCATTAAGACAGGCAATTCTCAGATAGTTTGCTATCTCCATGTACATGGTTGGGTTTCAATCATTTCCCTCATTTTCAGCATGTATCTGTGAGAATTAAAACAATTATTCCTATCACTTCTGATTTTCAATAAGCAAGTGAGGGACTTGCATCAAGGTTCTTAGAGTCAGCCTGGAATGGCCTAAAGTCATCCCCTCAGTTATCTTAAAAAAAGGTAAAGGTTTCCCCTTGATTTTAAAGTCCAGTCATGCCTGACTCTTGGGGGCGGTGCTCATCCCTGTTTCCTGGCCGAGGGAGCCAGCGTTTGTCCGCAGACAGTCTCCGTGGTCATGTGGCCGGCATGACTAAACACCAAAGTGCATGGAACAACAAAATGCTGTAACCTTCCCACCGAAGTGGTACCTTTTTATCTACTTGCATTTGCATGCTTTCAAGCAGGCGCTGGCACCCCGTTGTGCAGATTCGAACTAGTGACCTTTGGATCAACCAGCCCAGCAGTTTAAGCCACTGTGCCACCTGCATCCCCCTCCGTTATCTTGCATCTAAGGAAAACACCTCCATTTTATGATCAGCGGCAGAAGCTAGCTCCTATGTGATAGATACTGACATTGTGATACAAATGCCTGGCTGAGGACATCTCAAGGCCAAGTGTCTCCACTTAGCAAACCTGTTGAGTGGTAAATGGCCCAGGGGCCAGAGGAATTCTCCAAAGCCCATCCCTGTGCTGGGAATGATCACTGTATCCAGTACCACCCAGACTAAAACACTTAACTCTTTGGTGAAGGGTGGGGGACC